CCAGTTTAAGAACCCATTGTGGCCCTCGAGTCAAAAAGTTTGCCCACCCCTAGTATAGAACATTGTAACATTCCCTAAAAACATTATGTTGTTGCCCTGGCCTGGTAGCTCAGTTGGTTAAGCGTTGTCACGATACACTAAGGTTCTGGGTTCCATCCCTGGTCAGGGCACATATAAGAAACAACTGATGAATGTATAAATAAGTGGAACAACAAATTGATGTTTCTCTCTTTCTCCATTCCCCTCTAAAATCAATTCAAAAAATAAAAATAACATGTTGTGCTTGAAAACATTTTTTACCTTTCACACTGGCTTCACAGACATTGTCTGTTTTAGTCTTGGACTCTCCTGTCCTGTAGACAGGGCAGGTATTATGGTCCCAATTTACAGATGAGGAAATACAGACTCAGAGTCTGACAGCATGAAGACAAGAACCCGGGACTTAAAACTGGTTCTTCTGAAATAAATCCACCCATAAGAGCCCCCTGGGCATCCAGGTGACCACTTTTAATCTCATGTTAAAAACCCAGACCTCCTTTGTGCAGTTCCAGGTAGTCTTGCTTCTTTCCTGGCGTATCTAATGGCCTTAAATGTTTAGAAAGGTTATATTGCTTTAACTTGCTCAGTCAGTTCCTTACCACTTAACTGCATTTAAAATCATATGGGTGGGTTTTGTGTGTGTGTGTGTGTGTGTGTGTGTGTTTTAATGCTTTTATTGATTTCAGAGAAAGAGAAAGGGAAAGGGATAGACATAGAAACAGAAACAGCCATGAGAGAGAACTGTCAGTTGGCTGCCTCCTGCACGCCCCTTACCGGGCATCAAGCCCTGACCAGGAATCGAACTGGTGACCTCTAGATTCATGGGTTGACGCTCAACCATTGAGCCACACAGGCTGGGCTGTATGGTTTTGAGTGTTTTTTTAACCAAGAAAGAAAGAAAAATGGTCCCATTGATATGACCTTAGTGTCAGAAATAATTCATCTAATAGAAAACGGTTTCTTTCCAGCCAGGGTTCGGAAATGGCCTCTCAGGGACGGGCACTGGCCAATCACTTCCAGAGTGAAGGAACTCCAGTGATGATCGGTACGAGTTTGGGACACCCTGGGCTCTTAGGTGGCGTGGAGAGAAAGTAAAACTTACCATTAGTAAAAATGTTTAATGTCACCTAAAATCAGTCATTTTAAACCATTTTAAAATTAGCTTTTACATCATACACTTTGACCTCCAAATTCCTTTGGGAATTTTTAAATGTGCAAGGCAGAAGGAACGTTATAGAAAAGGTTATAATAACCCGACGAAAATGCTAAGAAGGGAAATGATAAAGGTGTGCCTATAGGTAAAGAGTTGAAAGCAGCATGAAGAAGAGGCATGAGCATCGTAAGTCACGGGTCTGTCACTAACTCGGCTGGCCGTGTTCCATGACTGCAGATTGCTTAATCCCTGGGCTTTATGCGTAAAATAAGAGGATTGGATTCATTGATCTAAAGATTCATATTCTGTGAGGAACAAGACGGCTCCTGTGATGGCAGAGGAAAGCTCAAACGGGTGTGTGTAGGAAATGGAGGAAGGCAGATGTCAGCAGAATATCAAAGAACTGAATGAGTAGATGGCTGTCTCCTTGGAGACAGCACGCCCCCTGCTGAGTGGACCACAGCAGTGACTGTGTCGCTGGTGGGAGGAGTTTAGACCCTCTGTGGCCCTTTCTAAATCCAGTTCAGGTAATTCCATGGATATGGCAGTGGAATATAAACCTTCTGATTATAGATATGATTGAATCTTTATCTTGAAGATGTAATTTTATCTTTTCAGAGTATATTTGACATTGTGGTCTTTTACAATGTAGACTAGAAAATTTTAATGCTGTTAGATAATAGGCAAAGCAATCTTTTAAAATTGAAAAGGAAGTTGAGGTTAATGCATGCTTCTCATATTTCCTATTTCCTCTTCTCTAGGGGGAGGAGTTTTGGCCCACACGATACTGGGAGTTGCATGGAATGAGATTACAGGGCAGATAAAATTTCTGATTTTAGATCCACATTATACAGGCGCTGAAGATCTGCAGGTTATTTTGGAAAAGGTAAGTATCTATTTAACACAAATTTAGATACAAGACAAAGAAACCAGAGCAAATGGTAGTGAAATGGCTGTTAACGGAAGGACGGATAATAAACCGAGGGCAGCGACACTCATAAGGAGGCATCTAGGGCTGTGGTGAGTGACTGTCTCTCCCTAGATAGGGAGGATAAGAGGGAAATAAAGTAAATTGCAAAAGAAACAATTTGGGTTAGGGTTATAAAAATTTTCTCAGCTATTGAACTTAATAAAGTAGCACAAAGCTGATAAATGTATTCCTTTGAAGATTTTTTTCTGCTTTGCACAAACAAATGTATTGAGGTTTATCAATGCCTTGAAGTAGGAGAGTCAAGTATAAAACCTTTATAATTTTAGAATTAACCAATAATAGCTAAGCAGTACTCTGGACATTGTGGAGGCTTGACTACTTTTAAGCTATTTACATATAACTTAATCTCATGCTATAAAGGATTTGAACAGAAAAATAGGTTTGCTCTATTAGTGCATGTCAGCAACCATGAAGCCAAGGCCTGGCCATCGGTACAGAACTATGAACTCTTACTTGACTCAAGAACCTAAGGCACCGAGTCCGCTCGGCTGCTATACAGAATACCACAGAGTGGGGACTTATAAACATCTGACATATATTTCTCACAGTGCTGGGGGCTGGGGCATCCAAGATCAAGGTGCCAGCAAATAAGCTGTCTGGTGAGGCCCACTTCCTAGTTCAAAGGCAGCTGTCTTTATCGCTGTTCACATGGTAGGAGAGATGAGGGACCTTTCTGGGGCCTCTTTAAAAAGGGCACTAATCTCATTTGTGAGGGCTCCACTCCATAATCTAGTCACCTTCCAGAGGCCTCACCTCCAGCTATCACATTGGGATTAAGTTTCAACCTATGAACTTTGAAGGGACACAAACCATCAGTCTGTAGCAGGGCCACGGGGAAGCTCTGCCTCTGCCGCTTTACCCTCTTTGGAGCTTTCCTGCTTGACATTCCCGGCCAGTCCCCTCAGAGGAAAGCACGGCTCCCCTCTCCACTCCCATCAGTCTCTGGTTTTGACACCCTCTCTACCCAGGTCCTTAAAAAAAAAAAAAAAAAAAATTGAGCCTGGTTACCTGGAGAAGGCCTACATGTGTGAAGGATCACAAAAAGATTAGAGATAGTATAAGCCTTCTTTCCTATTTATCATTAAGAACACAGATTTTAGGACATTAAAATTATTAGAGGAAGTTTTGCTGAAAATAATAGATAAAAAGCTTATTATGTATGGCAACATGTCTCAAACCAAATTTTAAAAAATACATTCAGAGAGGAAGGGAGGAGAAACATCAATGATGAGAGATTCATTGATTGGCTGCCTCCTGCACGCTCCCTACTAGGGATTGAGCCTGCTACCAAGACATGTACCCTGACCGGGAATCGAACCATAGCCTCCTGGTTCATAGGTTGATGCTCAACCACTGAGCCACAACAGCCAGGCCACAAACCAAATTTAACAGCTGGGAGCAGGGGCAGTAGGACTGACTGGGGGGGAGGGTTTTTTTTATGTTTTACTTTCGTGTCCTTTGAATTTTTATAATGTGTATCTTATTTTTTGCAATCAGAAAAAGAAAAAAAAAAACTAAAGAGTATCTCTAACTCACCTCTCTGGTCTCCACACTAAGGGATCAGCTAACACTCTCTTTTGGAGGAGGTCTGAGCTTTGACTTTAGGCCCCTGACAGCACCCTGCAGCCTCCGAGTTAGGTAGGGTAAGGAGTAAGACCAGGCCTGTCCCGCACTCAGTGGTATTTTAAGAGTCCTGGCTAGCCTCCTACAAGTATTGAGCAAACAAAGCATTTCATTTCATGACCATACAACACAGACAAGTTGTTAGCTGGGTCTTTAAGGAAATAAATCAATGGCCCTAGAAGAAATTTGATAAACTTTTATATTCACAATGAGATTTTGTTTGAAAGTAATTCTCTCTGCTGGAGAAAAGGATGAATGCTGACATGAAGAATGCAAAGTGGAAATGATTACAGCCTGAGGAAAATGAATGCCACTCAAAGGGCAAGCTGAGATTTCTCACGACCGTATTTCCTCATAGCGATGAGGCCTCTGCATGGCACACAGCAGTCTTTTATGGGCTGCTAAGGAAACAGGCTGCCACTTAAACTGTCCCATGCCACTACCTGCCGGGATGACAAAACTATACATCTTAGCATCAATAAAATGTGGAATTTGGAGCAATAGTTACCATAGGAAGCTTTTCTTAATGATTTCTGATTAAATACAGTATAATTAAACTTTTTTATTCTATCTGAAAGGGACCCAAATAAATTACTTTTCTATACTTTATACAAATTTGGATCTTTGAATTATATAGATACTAGTTCCTAATGGAGCAGGATGGTAATGGAGCAGGATGGTAAAATTTTACAATTTTGGCCCTATAGTCCTATAACTTTGTAAAACGTTTTCCTTTCCCTTTCCCCAATCTAGGGCTGGTGTGGATGGAAGGGTCCAGACTTCTGGAATAAGGATGCGTACTATAACTTATGTCTTCCTCAGCGACCAAGCATTATTTAAAACGAGGCCCGGTGCGTGAAATTCGTGCACTCAGGGGCGAAGGGGGGGTGGTCCCCTCAGCCCAGCCTGTGCCCTCTTGCAGTCTGGGAGCCCCATGATTGATTGCCCCAAAAAGGTAGACCCCGCACAACCAAGATGGATCGCCCCGCAGAGGGAGGCCCCGCCCACCCGCTGCAGCCCACTGGTCGGTGGCCTGGTGCTCCTTCTGTGGGTGACCAATCACATTGCACCCGCCTTAGCTGGCCTGGCGCCAGTGGGTGTCATAGTGTGGTCGTCTGGACGGTCGTTCTGCTGTTCAGCCATTCGGTCGATTTGCATATTACACTTTATTATTATAGATATCTTGGACTCAAAGACTGTAGTAAAGTTTATTATAAATTTGTTAATAAAAAATAAGTTTAATTTTCAAATAAATTCTGGGTGTAGTTTGATGGTTTAACCTTGATTTTTTCCCAAAGGTTATAAATACTACACAAAAAAAAGAATTTAGTCTTTAGACTTTCCTTTAAAAACTTAGACAAAGTATGCGCAACCACAATATTGGAGGCATGTAAATACATGCATTCATAAATGTTATCTTCACTTAGAAGAAAGTTCTCCTCCTTCTTAGAAGGAGTTTAGACACCTGATGAGCGAAAGCCATGGCTTGCAGCTGAGCAGCAGATCTGCCCGAAGTGAAGGCCTCTTCACACCTCCTCATAACCGAGTCATCTGTTGTTAAAAAACATGTTAACATTAAAATCTTTTTAACAGGTTATCTCCCCAGCCTTCTACTATGCAGGACAATCTTTGGTTTCTAGAATCTACTAGTAGTTACTATAACCAATCTTAAACTGTGTTAATGAGAATGAAAAAGACATACTAGAATAAGACTGCCAATATTTAAATGAAACAATAATTTCTGTGCCAAATAAGAGATCCTTGAGGAAGAAAGAAGAAACTGAGTTACTTACCAACACTTCCTTTTCCCACTTGTATTTTCTGCACTCCCGAAACTTCGTTTCTGTCTGAGCACCGGAACACAGTGATCTCTATTGGATCGTTCACTTGGGTTTTTTGTCTGCATACGTTTAATTGCCGTAAGGAACTTGGCACATTCTGGAAATCCACATGACCAAGCAAGATCTTCAGCTGTTTGCCCATTCTTATTACATAAACTGAATTTAAAATAAAGATCGAGTTAAATAAAGCTTAACAATTATTTAGTCTTTTTAAAATATATATCTTTCTAACAAAGGAGCTTTGGGCTCATACAAATGTTGCTGCAGAATAGAAGAGGTAGAGGAAGCACAGACAAATTCCATTTGTGTTCACTATGGTGTCCTCAGTGGCTAGCAGAGCCCAGCACAGAGTAGGCATTTCAATTTTGAATGAATGAAAGAGTATTCTGTGCTCAATACAGTGGATAAGTACCCAAGAAAGTCAATGAGAACTTGTATAGAATGGATTTCCCTAAACCAAAACTAAGGTGTAATTCTGCCCCCTCTGATTGCTCAGGATCCACTCTTCACTTCTTCAAAGTGAATAGTATCAGATATTAACAGCCTCAGTTAACATTTAAATGATAACACTAAATTATCCATTAGACAGGCATCCTTCTTAAAAGCGCATGTAATTAAGCTTCAGAAGTCTGATTCATTTAATCCAATTTAAAGCCACCAAGTTTAACACTTACTCAATTTGGGCATCACTGGCCACAAGCAGGCTAAGGCATTCCAGGCTTCCAACTTTCGCTGCCTTGTGGAGCGGAGCTTCTCCAAACACATCCTTAAATATAAGACAACACATTTTAGTCTCTCTCCAAAATGCTTTCTTTGGAAGTTGGTGGGTGAAGTCTATTGTTTGAGGAACCTATGTGAGGAACCTAGTTGGACCTGCATTGTACTGGGCTGAATTTTTTAATTCAAGTATTTTTTTTAATAAGGTTCTCTTGGTATGTTATTTTTTTTAAATATATTTTATTGATTTTTTACAGAGAGGAAGGGAGAGGGATAGAGTTAAAAACATCGATGAGAGAGAAACCGATCAGCTGCCTCCTGCACGCTCCCCACTGGGGATGTGCCCGCAACCAAGGTACATGCCCTTGACCGGAATCCAACCTGGGACCCTTGAGTCCGCAGGCCGACGCTCTATCCACTGAGCCAAACCAGTTAGGGCTCTCTTGGTATGTTATTAAATACAAGGCTTTCATTAGTAAAAACGTGTGCAGTCACAGCACATACACTAAAATTTAAGTGAATAAAGTAAGAGTTATATGGAAGTAAAAAAAAAAAAAGGCAATTTAAAATTCACCATACTTTAATATTCAATGGAAGATGTAGACTACCATAAAAAAAAGTTATGTACAGCCCCAGCTAGTTGGCTCAGTAGCTGGCAGATTGAAAGGTCCCAGGTCCGGATTCCAAACCCCACCTGCAGGAGGCAACCAATGGGTGTGTCTCTCACATCACTGTTTCTCTCTGTCTCCCCCTCTTCCACTCTCTAAAACTCAAAGGAAAAAAATATCCCCAGGTGAGGAATAACAAAGAAAAATTATGTAGAAAATTAAAACAGTTGTGAGCATGACTCACAAATATTTCAGTTGCTATACTGAGACTTTTCATTTGATAACACAGTAAGTGTTCCTTTTGAAACTGCAGACCTGTATATGCTGTCCAATGCAGTAGCCAGTAGGCATTTATATGGCTAATGAGCACTTGTAATGTGGCATGCCTGAACTGAAATGCGCTGTAAATATGAAATGCACACCGGGTTGAAAAGACATACAAAAAGAAAATGTAAACTATCAGTAATGTTTTATACTGAGATGACAATATTGTGGATAAATGGGTTTAAATTACAAAATTAATTTCATGTTTTGTTTTACTTCATTATTGTGGCTACTACAAAAATTTTAATTACATTCGTATCTCGTGTATTTCTCTATTGGACATCGCTACGTAGACATGTTTCTAACAACTGACTGAATACCCTGGCGACTAAGAAATGTTTGCGTGGGTTCGGGGTGGAGCGGAGGGTTGCGCACAGTAACAGTCAGTTACTTAGTTACCTGCTGGTTGAGGTCCGCGCCGGTCTGCAGCTGCCAGAGAAGAAACCAAGCCCGGCCGCCACCTGCGGCCAAGTGGACAGGCGACTGCTCCCAGGGGTCCGGGGGTGCGTTGACCGAGGCCCCGGCCTCCAGCAGGTGCGTCAGATTCTCCACCTGCGGGAAGAGAGCAGCTCCAGCACCCCCCTTGCCTTTGTCCAGCCCCGCGCCCTCCTGGGGCTGAAAACCTCCCAACTCTGCAGAGGCAGCGCCCAGTGGCCACTCCACAGTCACCCTCGCCAGCGCTCCCAAGAAGACAGACATCTGGCAGCTTCAGCCTGCGGAACAAAAAGGGTCCGAGTCTCACCTCTGAGTTGCAATCAAACAACAGCATTTTCCGCCTGAAGCAGAGGACAGGAGTCGTTGGGCGTGCAGGGCGGCGGGGCACTCGCGGCAGACTGGCAGGTAAGTGTGCAAAAGCCGCCCAAGTGCGGGAGAATTTAAAGTCGGCGGGACGAGGGGGGCGGGCCCCCACCGCTGCGCCCCAGCTCCGGCCGCGCCCCAGCAGCCTGACCCTTGGCTGCACCGCCCGTCCCAGCCCCGCGGCTGCAGCACGTACACAAACACTGACACGTGCAACCCAGGACCCGGCGCAGCTGCCTAGGAGGAGGGAGGAGGGGGAGGAAGCGGCGCGGGCCCGCCCGCCGATTGGCCCCGAGGCGGTGCCAGGCCCGCCCATCTGGGGGCGGGGCCCTAGGCCGCCCTGCGGAGCCCAATGCGCGTGCGCCGTGGCGGGCGGTGTAGGGGCGGCCGCGGTTCCGCAGCGTCCATGCGGCGCGCCTGCCTGGGCACGTCTCACGCCGGCGCGGCCCGCCCTTTGTCCCTGCGGAGAAGTGGGAGTCGCGGGGATCTCGTGGTGGCTGCTGTCGCGCACGTAGCCAGGAAACGGGGAGCCATATGCAGCCCCGCGGCCCCGCCTGCGCGAGCCGCCCTGCGTGGGGCTGGCGCCGCGCCCTCGCCCCCAGCGCCGGAGGAAGGATTGAGTTCCTTCTGCCTTAAGTTCAGAATCGCCCCCTCGGCCCCCCACGCCCCGGACAGGAAGGATAAGCGGGGGTGGGGGCTGTAATGTGGCCTAAGGGGGTGGGTTTTCCGCAGGACTGCCCTACCCACCCCCCAAATTAGATGATTTCTCAGGCCCGACCCCTGGCCTTGCTGGGGTCCTGTGCCAGGAGCCTGCCATTGGGGCGTGTCCCCTCCCGATGGCAGGTCCCAGCCGCGGGGCTGGTCCCCTGGGCAGATGCTGCGTCCAGCTGTTGGGCTGGAGCCCGCGGGCTGGCGGGGAAGGGGCGGGACGAGGAGGGACGAGCTCGCCCCGACGGCGGGGACAGGTCCTGGGGAAGAGGGGACCGGCCGGAGGGTTATGGCAATGGGCTCCCCGCGGGCAGCGCCCACGTAGGTCTCGGCTGATCCCAGGGAGGAGGGGGCTGGGGACCTGGCTCTCCGGAAGCTCTTTATACTTAAATTTATAAACAAATCATTAGCTTAAGTCATTCCTTTTTTTGGTAAAACTTCAGAAACGGACTTCCTGACTTCAAACTGTAGCCATTGAGCACATATAGAATCTCTTACATTTGCGCTCAATATGAAATGGATTATTATCTTTTCCTAAGCACGTTTTGTTTTCAGATTAATCTGGCTAAAACCTAAAGCTCCAGCCAGCCGTATGCTTCCTCTCCCTAAAAAAGCCTTGAGCGAGTCCTTTCTCTCTATCCATACCTTTGAGAGCAGGACTGAAAAATAGACAGGCTTATGATTATGCTTCTAAGGACAAGCTCATTGTCCTCTAAAGGTAAGCGCCCTTTTAGCTGCAATTTTGGTTGCAGTATATCGTTTATTTTGTAATAAGCCATAAAGTGGTTTTTGCAGTAATACATTTATATTACTCTACTGACCCAAGGGGTAGTTTTAAACATTTTTATTCCTATGTGTACTTGGACGTAAATGTGGGTATATATTTATGTTCAAACATCTACATAGAGCCATGCTTTTGTTCTGTATGTTTTTTACTTAAGCAAATCACGATACCTTTTTATGCGATTTAAAGAATGGCCCTGCAAAGGTATTGCTGTCAGGTGAGAACACGGGTCCCTGTTGCCAATTTGCCTTTGGCAATATGGACAAGTGTTTATCAATTAGGTAAGCCCTTTTTTTAAAGCATATAATTAAGCTTCAGGGTTGCACAGATATTCCCTTTCAGGAATTCCTAACTAATACAAGGTCAGTTCTTAGAATTCTAAACGTGTGCAACGGTGAGGCTCGGGCAGGCTAAATAGCCACAGCAGGCAGTGAATAAAGATAAACTGAATTTTTTTAAGGAAAGGGGCTTGGGGGATGGGGATAGCCAAAGGGTAGGGCTACACAGCACTGAGCCCCAGAGTATTGGGTCCATGCTGGCAGCAAAAACGTACTTAGGACAGTGCAACAAGGAAGGGCATAGAAGAAGCAACAGGAAAGGGCTGCTTTGGCTCACTGGGAAGTCAGTGATAAGGGGGCCATGGAGGCAGGTTCAGGGGGGTTAGCCCAGGACGAGCTGCCGCTGCTCATCGCTCCCCTGGTTGCAAGTCTCATGGGGTCCCTTAGAGGGTGGGGGATATGTGCCTGTGGGGCAAGGAGAGGGGGAAGGGAATGGCATGGACGTGCTCCGTGGAGGGTTCCTGGTGTGCTCTTTCAGGGTCTTCATCTCCACTGTAGCCGGTCCTGAGGCAGCCACCGTGTCACTTACCTGGTTTTGCTGCTTTTCTGGGCCTGGAGCTGAAATGCAATGGAGGCCTAGATGTTATCTTTAGGGAGGAAACCGTCAGAGGGTCTAAACTGCATGACCAGTGATATGCTAGGGGAGGGTAGGTTACCCTGGAGACGAGGTTCTTGTTTTCCCAGTTTTGCCCCTTGCTAGGCATCCAGGGCTTTCTGCCTGGTGAGTTTCTCTTCCTGGCCCATTATCCTTGCTCTGCTCGTGTCTGTCTAACAGTGTACTGCAGTTAACATATAATGGGATATCTGTGTGATAAATGTGCCTCCCTATCACATCCTTTTCCTTTAAAACATGCATTAAGTCTGATAATTATTGTTAACTTCCTGGTACATATGTAAGCTTTCCCAGGAAAGGGAATTTTGTGAGTAGTTTTTAAAGCTTTTCTCCCTTTACTCACTGTGTACGTCTCTATTGCTCATATTGTTTCAGAAAAAATATTTGTGTTGTCTGGATAGCTGGCTTACCCTTAGTAATGGACCCCAAAGCTTTCCAAGAACTGAACAAAGCTGGTGGAGCAGAATCAGTGCTTGAGGACTGTGCCGAGCCAGCTCAGCCAGGTTTGGTGAGCCTGAGGGGGCGGTGAAGGATTGAGAAAAGACAGACAGAAGAAAAAAGCTGGGTCTGGGTGGACATTGTCCTCTCTGATGGAGCGCTAACGACAGCGCCACACCCTGAAAGCTGTGTCTTCATTTTATAGCCAGATTCCAGGAGGCAAAGTAAGGGCGTGGTCAAGATGTTTACAACATTCTCGTGCTTTTCAAATCTACTCAGGTACATGCACCTGAACTCTATCAAGCCCACATCACTCATCCACCTGGGACCACAGGTTCAGACCGTAGGTCAAGCTTACCACCATAGCCTTTGGCTGTAACTGTGCTGGGAGAGCTTTGCCCTCCAAGCTGGGACTTGCACGTGGCTTTGCCAGGAGAGGACCATGCCCTCTCATTAGTCCAAAGCTTGAACCTGTCCAAACACCATAGTCACTCCCCACAGAGGACAGTGTTTTATTGGGAAGTAACTGGAGTTTTTAGTAAACATGCAACCAGTGGGATCAATTTTCTTAAAAGGAAGATGGTCTAAGATGCATATTCACAACAGGCACTCTTCTAAGCAGTGATAGTTTCACTTAAGTTTAATTTGCAGGTAAGTATGTTTCCAGAAGGAGGATGTCATTTAGAGTGAGAGTTTTAAAAAATATATTGAATGCTGACTGTGCGAGCCACGTCCCAAGTGGTTCAGGGTTCGGGATCTGGAGAAGGGCTGCACACAAATGACAGAGACAAGACAAGACATAATAATTTGGAAATATGGGGGCTAGGCAGGAAGCCCAACGCAAGGGGAAGGACTTCCACTGGTGCCCAGGCCTTGCCAACCTTTTATTCAATTTTGGATGCACATATAGCCCTTAGGCAATTCCAGTAACAGACAGAGTATCTTAAAGGTCAGTAAGTATTCGTAAAGATTTACTCTGCGACTAAATAATTGGTGCATAGCTCTGGCCCTTGCCAGGGCTCAAGGTTCTCCAGCGTTGCGGGCTCCTTGTTTACACTTCTCTGATAGTGAAGACAATGGGTAGCTTCCAACAGCTGACTAAGTGACCAAATGGACTGTCTTGAAGACTGAGTAAGAATTTGTGAGGTAATCCAGGAAGGTCAAAGGGTCACAGAAGTCAACCTAAAAGAGCTCCCACTGTCCAAAGCAATGTGGACAACACAATAATGTACTGTTGGATTATAATTCAATAAAATAGATATCCTTAAGTCTGTACTGATGTAAATGATTGAATCGATAAAGAAATGAGAGCGAAAAGACAACTCTTCCTCACAAAAGAATTCCAAAGTCTTCATGTAGACACTCCCCACTCCAGGAAGTGGCGAGAATCCTCCCCCACCTTGCCCTCTGGAGTGTGGGTTACACATAATGACTTCCTCCCAAAGAGTAGAGCATGGGAAGGGGGAAAAAGTATTTTTATAGCAGAGAAACCTGTGAAACACTGCCTTGGCCAGATAATTGTGAACATCATCAGTGATCAGTCACGTTAATAGTGTGCACCGCTGAAATGAAGTGGTGAGAAGGTCACTTCACCTCTTGCTCTTCTTTCCTAAAGAATGTTACATATCTAGGATCAGACATTTTGAAATCCTCTAGTTCAAACTACTGATAATCCAAACTACAGGTGAGGAAATGGCCTCTTAAAAATATTAGTGACTATTCCAAAATCACAGATACTTAATTGCTTTTCCCCGCCCAATATACTGAATTATCTCCCTTTCCTGCACTTCTCATTTTTTAAAAAATATATTTTATTGATTTTTTTACAGATACAGAGAGGAAGGGAGAGGGATAGAGAGTTAGAAACATCGATGAGAGAGAAACATCGATCAGCTGCCTCCTGCACACTTCCCACTGGAGATGTGCCCGCAACCAAGGTACATGCCCTTGACCAGAATCGAACCTGGGGCGCCGCCACTGAGCAAAACCAGTTAGGGCCACTTCCTTCTCATTAATGAAGCAATTTATTATCCAAAATAGTGTCATAAAATTGTAGAAATGGAACTTTCCAATCACACTAAAGCAGTAGTTCTCAACCTTGGCTGCACATTAGAATCACCTGGGAATCTTTTTGAAATCCTGATTTCTGGGCCTCATCCTCCGGAAATTCTATTTCTTTGTTATGGGGTGGAGCCACAACATTAGTAACAAAGAAACAGAATTTCTGGAGGATGAGGCCCAGAAATCAGGATTTTAAAAAGATTCCCAGGTGATTCTAAGGTGCAGCCAAGGTTGAGAACCACTGCACTAAAGAGTTGCTGAGTGCCCTTCACCACCAATCAGGAACCTCCGCTGGAAGCTTGCTCCTGATTGGTGAAGGCCAGCTGTAACTATAGAATGCGGAGGAGTAAACAAAAAGCATAGCAACAACCGAGTTTGCGGTCTCACTATCCTCAGCCTGGGCCAACCTGGACTCCTTCATCCCAGATGAGGTGGCCCCTACATTTTTTATGAAGGCTCTGATTTTCCATTGAACCGCGATCTGTCTTACGGCATGGCAATCCAATACAGACAGGATGAAGAAACTGAGCAACACAGCTAAAATAAAGCGTATTCCCAGGTAGAACAGACAAATGCTTTGGTGTGAAATGGATTATTAGCCTGATGAGATTCAGATACAGGGCAATAGGAAGGTACTCGAGCACAAGAACTATATCTGTGGGCAGTGTCACCAAGTCCTACTAGTGGCAGCAGCTGTGGCGGGGGAGGGGACCCGTTGCAGCAGGTAAACTCAGAGGATGTGCAGAGAGCTCTCATCATCAATCCCATGCTGTGGACACAGGCATGGAGGATGGCTGTGCTTCTTCTCATAGCTACACAGGGCCCTGGTTTCCTAAGAAGGAATATTCACCACCAGGGCTGGTAGTTTGGTGCCCTACCCCGAGAAATGTGGGGAGGTTGCTTTTCATGAGTGCCAAGTGGGGATGGGAGTGTCTTTTCAAGTTTTTCTGGAGGAAGATATTTCTGTCTTATTTTTTATGTTCCTTTACAGAATACGCGTGGAAACAGGATGCAGTTGACCAGTGAAAAGTTGCCCGAGGACCCCCTCTATACCTCTCTATCCCAGGATGCTGCCAGGAACTACAGCTTCTTCCAATGCACAAAGGACAAGACTGGTACAAATTCTGATAATATTTTCACTAAAGGCTAATCGGTACACCAGAGAAAAAAGAGACAAGAAATATAAGTCTTACTGCTGTCAAGGCGGGGGTTAACTTTACAGTCCTTTCTAGCTTTCCTGTAGGAATATGCGAAATTGCGGTTTCACGCCTCTGGTTAGCAAATCATTAGCTGGGAAGTTTCACGGAGCCCGAGCCTGAGTTTACATTCAGGGGTTTAGGACCCTCTTCTGGAAAAGGGAAGCTAGATGGCTTGTCTGTTAAGGAGGACAATGCCATACTTGACTTGAAATTGGCCTTTAAAGCTACCATTTTTTTCTATGGTCTTTTAAAAAATTAAATTGGGGATGGTTAGCTCATTTGGTTAGAATAGCTCTAATTAAGCCTCAGATGAAGAATTTCACTCGCCCATGGATGACTTTGCCCAAAGAATTGCACACAGACTGCTTGCTAGAGCTCCTCCTAGTGGTAAACTGGGTTACTCTGAAAACCAACCAACAGATACTTCTTGATTGTATGAGGCGTGGTGTTAGGGCCCATGATAATACTTTCTCCTTTAGCCAAGGAGGAATGAGGACTAGGAAGGAAACTAGTGTAAAGTGTCAGATGAATTCTGTATAATTGTTGACTTGAAGAGAGAAAATTCATATTGTGTGAAAGTTATAATTCTTTACCTTTCTTAAATCAGACCGTTACAGCCATGCTAGTTTGGTGGATCAGGCATTGCAGCTCTTGAAGGAAAGAATAGTAAGAGGGGATGCTATGGCCTATTTCCTGCGAGGTCAACTATATTTTGAAGAGGTATCAGTCTTTGTTTATTTGTTTTTATTTCATTTAATGCTGCTGTTAGATCCTCATAGCAAAATATCTCCTACAGTTCCTTCCTTTGTAATATCAGGGAAATTCTGTCAAATTCCACAGATTACAGTTGTGGCTTCAAGTGTGATATGCTGGTATCAGTTTAAGGAGCTATCTGGGCTTTCTCCATAAAGACATTCTAATGAAAATCATTTATAGGAGACATCCTATATAATAAAAGAGTAATATGCAAATCAACCGAACAGCGGAACTACCGGTCGCTATGACGCGCACTGACCACCAGGGGGCAGATGCTCAATGCGGGAGCTTCCCCCAGCCCGCAGGCTCTGATCAACCGATCGGGGCCTGCCAGCCAACCTCTTGGTCCCTTCCCTGGGCCAGCAGGCTCTGATTGGCAAACGGGAAACCAGGGGTGGGTGGTGGCAGGGGGTGGGGCTGGCTGCCAGCAGCCAGGGAAGATGGCCCTGATCACAGGCTAGGCCTAGGGACCGTACCCATGCACGAATTTCATGTGCCAGGCCTCTAGTTTTGGTATAAAATTAAAAATCTAATGTTTATATTTTTGCCCAAAATATCTAATATCATCTAAAATATTTTCACTCCAATGTCAGTAATACAGCTTTAGTTCTTCACTGAACCTGAGGGAAGGTGTGAAAGGGAACAGCTGTCTCTAATCCCTCACCATCCATTGAATATTTGGGCAGCTATTCACCTATACCCCACTTACTCTCTAATCTTTTGATGGCTCCTTCATTCATTCTGGCAACAAGTATTTGTTGAGGACCAGTCGTGCCCCTGTAACTGAGAATAGCACAACATAACGGTTAAGTGAAGGATCTCTTAGCTTTGCACATAGGTTTGAATATGGCTCTATTGCTTTTTTTAAAAAAATTTGTTTTATTGCTTAAGGTATTACAAAGAGTACAACATATGTCTCCTTTTTTTTTCTCCTCCCCCTCCTTGACCTTCCCCCGGCTTCCCCTACCCCCCAGTGTCTTGTGTCCATTGGTTATGCTTATATGCATGCATACAAGTCCTTCGGTTGATCTCTTAAACCCGGCTCTATTGCTTTTTAATTGCTTATCCTTGGGCACAAATCCTTAACCTCTTGGTGCCTCAGTTTTCTCATCTGTAAAAGGGGGGTAATAATGTGTGTTTCATAGAACTATTGTGAGGATATATTAATTGTAAAACGGCCTGGCACCTAATAAGTGCTTCATAAGGCTTCGCTATTATGTGCTATAAAATGAAGAGGGAATCAGAATGGTCCCCATTTCACAAAGGTTACAGTCCAGAAGGGGAAGAAAATGAATATATGTATAATTAAAAATAAGGAAAAGTACTATGAAAGGAATTAACTGCATACAACAATAGAGAATAACTTAGGCATAGGGTGGAAAGACCTGTTGTTGAAACTAACATTTGCAGAAAAGGAAACACAATGCAAACAGCCAGTGGAAGTGTGTTCCAGAGAGAGAACAAATAACACATTTCATCGATGAGGAAGTTTTGAGATCTAAAGGAGACCGATGTGGAATAAGCAAGGCAGAGACGGCTCTAGATGAGCGTTGCTTAAAATGTAGTAAGAAGCCATTGGAGGGTTTTCAGTCTGTGGTGAACGGATTAGAAGGCAGGCATAGAACTAGTTCAGGGTGAAATTACACCAGTTCAGGCAAGAGAGGTTGGTAATCTTGACCAGAGTTATAGCAGTGGAGCTGGGTCCTGGATTTATTCTGGAGACACAGTGGTATAATGGACTGAAAAACAGAGACTGGGGAAGAGTGAGTATTGAGGTGATGACCAAGAGTTCAGTTTTTGGACATGTTATGTTTAAAATGCCCATTAGTCGCCCTAAGCGGTTTGGCTCAGTGGATAGAGCGTCGGCCTGCGGATTGAAGGGTCCCAGGTTCGATTCCGGTCAAGGGCATGTACCTTGGTTGCAGGCACATCCCCAGTGGGGGGTGTGCGGGAGGCAGCTGGTCGATGTTTCTCTCTCATCAATGTTTCTAACTCTCTATCCCTCTCCCTTCCTCTCTGTAAAAAAAATATCAATAAAATATATTAAAATAAAATAAAATAAAAATAAAATGCCCATTAGTCATCCAAGTAGACAGATTTCAAAGTAGAAACTTACATGTTCTCGAAGGAGAAGTTTGGGTTGAAAGTGTTTATTTGAGATCTTCCAGCTGTTTATGGTATTTAAAATAATGGAAACCGAAAGAACTTTCTTACTTTCCTTTGCATAATCTAACTTTTCCAGCCCTCTCACATCTAAGCCCAACATTAGCCAGAAAGGAAAATTAGTCTTAACAGCTCAGTCATTTACTCATTGATATGTGCTCTTTAAAATAAATAAATATTTCTTAGGATTTTGGGGTAGTTTTTGTTAATTTTTATCAATTGGTTAATTAATGACAGTTTATGAAAAGAGAAATTTAATTATTTTTGTGTTTTCCAAAAGCTGTTTTTCTCTGGCCTGCTCTTCCTAATAATGACCTTCCAATTCAGTAAAAGACTCTCTTTCTACCACTACAAATGACGCATTCTTTAGTGTGAGGCGTTTTCATGGTGGATTAAAAATATAAAATCCCATATTAGTCCCTCACACCATAGCATGTTTGTTACCGGATTTGTCTAACTGCCAAGGAGCCTTAAAGTGATGATACAGAACATGTGGGTTTTTATAGGAAGTATGGGAGGCAGTTAATTTTCGAGAATCACACGCTTGTTTTTCCATGTCTTCTCAGCTGGAAAACCGCAAAACTGAAGGACATGAGCCATAATAATAGTGGATGTTTAATAACAGCCAATGTCCTTCATAAGGATATTCACTACTATTAAAAAAATAGATGAAGCCAAGGTAGAAAAATGTTATTACTAAGAATTTATGTGGCAGTTATGCACATTTTTATTGTATATTCTCAAGTGATAGCCTGTACAGTCCCTTCTTGACCTACCCGCAGGGTACGTCAGCATAATGTGGACAGAGGGCAGTTCCCTCCTTACTCTGTGTAGAGCAGCGGCCGCCAACCTTTCGGACCTCACGGACCACCGGTTGGCGACCTCTGGTGTAGAGGAACATATAAACTACCCTTAAGTACAAGGTAAGAATCAGGGGCTTCAGTTACTATGAACATGAAAATGTTTTATAGATGATATTAAATATTTGGGGCAAAAATATAAACAGATTTTTAATTTATAGTGTAAGAATAGATTTTATACTACAACTAGAGGCCCGGTGCATGAAATTTGTGCATCGGGGGGTAGGTCCCTCAGCCCGACCTGCACCCTCTCCAATCTGGGAACCCTCAGGGGATGTCCTACTGACGGCTTAGGCCCACTCCCCGTGGTTCTCTGCTCTCTGTGGATCTGCCTGTCTGCTCTCTGGCTCGCCTCTGTGGCCAGGGGCAAGCAGGGCCCTGGTGTCTGCTCTCGGCGAGGGGCAAGCAGGGCTGACTGGACCGGACATGCCAGCGGTAAGGCTGAGGGGACTGGGTGCCTCCATCTTGTGGCTATGTGCGCCACCATCTTTGTGGCGGAGTGACAGTTAATTTGCATATTACCCTTTTATTCGATAGGATGTCTCAAATCTTCTCCGAGGCTTTGGTCCCAGCTCTGATATTTCTCAGACTTCAGGAGTGGCGGGGGAGGTGGCAGGCTAGATTGAGCAGTCGGCTAAGCTGTCATTTCAAGAGAGGATTGGCAATAGGCAAGAGTAAGAGTGAAAGCCAAAGAGAATCTTACCTAAATTCCTACTGGTCACTTCCCTCAGTTGCCATGTTTAGGTCTATTTAATTGACTTTATAGTGTGTTGACTGTTGTCAGTGACTTAACTTGCAAAGTCCATAAATTTGTGGCTGTCTTTTCTTGGTTTATTTGGTGCTACTGGCTAGATTTGGGTGGGAATTAAATGACTGGGATTACTTTAAGATAATAATAATTCAGTATTTCCTGTGAGCTTGCAGGGATGGTATGAAGAAGCATTAGAACAGTTTGAAGAAATCAAGGACCATGATCATCAAGCAATTTACCAGCTGGGCGTAATGTATTATGATGGGCTGGGGACAGCTGTAAAAGCTGTAAGTTATTGATTTGTTTGCAATGTTTAAGATTTCATTGTTAATGGATTATCTGATACAATTGAAATTATTCACATTTTAATCATACATTTCTATCCTTATAGTTCAGTAATCTTTAACCTTTTAGCATTCAAAGGATAGCACTAGTCATTTTTCATTTGTGTGAAAAACAAAATTTCTTTTTTGCTCGTTCTTCTTGCTACCATTAGATGCCAATAATTTTCTCTTTTAATATGCTTTCCTGTATTTTCAAAGCTACATAAACATGGAGAAAAAAAAAGCTAGAAAATAAGCAAAAAATAGGATCATTACAAATTCTGCCATCAAATATAAACATTGTTATTATTTTAAATTATGTGCTATCATGAAGTGCCCCATGCAATAAATTTGTATATATAAATTTTATATAACATTATTTAGAAGTGACACATCTGGTATTTGTACAGAAGAACTTCTCTTGTAAAGCATACTGAAATATTTAGGTGTGAACTGTACTGATATTTACATCTGCAGATAACTTGAAACAAAGCAAAAAAAATAGAAGCAAATATAGCAAAATATTACTGATAATTTATATGGTAGTTTTTTTTTGTTTGTTTTTTTTTGTTTTTTCTTGAGGCTTTTTTTTTTATTCTTTATTGTTCAGATTATTACATTTGTTCCTCTTTTTTCCCCCCCATAACTCCCCTCCTTCCAGCTCCCACCCCACCCTCCGCCCTCACTCCCCACCCACTGTCCTCATCCATAGGTGCACGATTTTTGTCCAGTCTCTTCCCGCATCTCCCACACCCCTTTTCGCCCCAAGAATAGTCAGTCCATTCCCTTTCTATGTCCCTGATTCTATTATAATCACCAGTTCATTCTGTACATCAGGTTATTTATTCACTTGATTCTTAGATTCACTTGTTGATAGATGCATATTTGTTGTTCATAATTTGTATCTTTACCTTTTTCTTATTCTTCCTCTTCTTAAAGGATACCTTTCAGCATTTCATATAATACTGGTTTGGTGGTGATGAACTCCTTTAGCTTTTCCTTATCTGTGAAGCTCTTTCTCTGACCTTCAATTCTGAATGATAGCTTTGCTGGATAAAGTAATCTTGGTTGTAGGTTCTTGCTATTCATCATGTTGAATATTTCTTGCCACTCCCTTCTGGCCTGCAAAGTTTCTGTTGAGAAATCAGCTGACAGTCGTATGGGTATTCCCTTGTAGGTAACTGAGTTTCTTTCTCTTGCTGCTTTTAAGATTCTCTCTTTGTCTTTTGCTCTTGGCATTTTAATTATGATGTGTCTTGGTGTGGTCCTCTTTGGATTCCTTTTGTTTGGGGTTCTCTGCGCTTCCTGGACCTGTAAGTATATTTCTTTCACCAGGTGGGGGAAGTTTTCTGTCATTATTTCTTCAAATAGGTTTTCAGTATCTTGCTCTCTCTCATCTTCTGGTACCCCTATAATTTTGATGTTGGTACGTTTGAAGCTGTCCCAGAGGCTCCTTACACTATCTTCGTATTTTTGGGTTCTTTTTTCATTTTGCTTTTCCGGTTGGGTGTTTCTCACTTCTTTGCATTTCAAATCTTTGACTTGATTCTTGCACTCCTCTGGTCTGCTGTTGGGAGTCTGTATAATATTCTTTATTTCATTCAGTGTATGCTTACTTTCTAGTTGGTCCTTTATCACACCATCGAGGGTCTCATTAGATTTCCTGTACATCTCATCAAGTTTATCGACAGACTCTAGAAGCCTCTTGAGAGACCTCAAAAGTGTGGTTCTGAACTCAATATCCTCCCTTGATAGTTTTGTCCTGTTTCTTTGTCTCTGCATTTTTTACGCTTTCTTGGTACACCCCCTAGTGGTCTTTGTGCACAGTCTTGTTGTAGTTAAGCCTTGATTGTTGTAGTTAATACTAGAGGGATTTGACCTCCAGGCCGACTGGCTGTGATAATCAGCTGTGTCTGCAGTGGAAGAACTTGTGTCCTCTAGGGAGGTGCTAATCTAGCCTTTGCCTGAGGCTATCCGGCAAATGCCTCTGTGCAGGGCTTGGGCGGGGCGGGTCCCATGGGATCAACAGGGCGGAGGAGGGAGCAGTTATGGCTGCTCTCAGTCCGTCCCCAGGGGCTCTGCCTCTCTGTCCCAGCAACCGCTGCAAACCTCGGAGGGACCGTAGCCAGACAGTCCTGCTTCTCCCGTTTGAGTCTGGGTCCCTAGAGACTCGCCCGGGTCTGGAGCTCAGAGTCTGAGGCTCCCTCCGGATTGAAACAGTCAACCGCGCCCTCAGCCACCAGCCCGCGCCGCGCGCACTCCGCACTTTAGTATTTTACTTCAGCACTGCGCCTCCTCTGATTCTCGGTTCCTCCTAGTTGTAGAACTTCCACTCAGCCAGCCTTCCTGTGGTTCTGGATGATGTCCATTCTGTCTTTTAGTTGTATTTTTGAAGTGGTTGTTCGAGGCAGCAAACTCCGGCGTTAACCTATGCCGCCATCTTGGTTTCTCTCTTGAGTTATATGGTAGTTATACAAATTTTTGTTGTATATCTTTTCTACTTTTCTGTATGTTTAAACATTTTGTATAAAAAGAAAGAAACTCATAATTATTGCAGCCATCAGACAAATGTAATTAATCTAAATTTCCTTGTTAAGAGAGAGTAAATATGTACTTAAGAAAATGACATGTATTTTTTTAGTGCATCAACAAAGATGTTCAAAGAAGCCTAGAAACACATTAAAACTTAGTGTAGAAATTATAATCCCTGCCGAAACCGGTTTGGCTCAGTGGATGGAGCGTCGGCCTGCGGACTGGGGGGTCCCGGGTTCGATTCCGGTCAGGGGCGTGTACCTGGGTTGCGGGCACATCCCCGGTGGGAGATGTGCAGGAGGCAGCTGATCGATGTTTCTCTCTCATTGATGTTTCTAACTCTCTATCTCTCTCCCTTCCTCTCTGTAAAAAATCAATAAAATATATTTAAAAAAAAAAGAAAAGAAATTATAATCCCATAGCAATAAAGCTCTGTTTAATATGAAAATCATAATTCAGAGCCTATATGTGCCAGATGTCATAGCATCAGACCACATGAAGGAAATGTGCTAAAAAATAAGTTTACAAAATATTAAATTTAATTTCTAGACATGATAGATAATAGTCAGTATATAATAGGTAAGTTTTATAAACTATGCAGCATCCACACCATAAAATTCCTAACATGAAATTTTAAGACTCCTTGTTTGAGATACCAAAATTGAAAATATACTAGGCATATATGTTTGAGCACAAAGAAAATCATATTAAACAATGCTCCCACCCAAAAAAAAATAAGTTATGTTATGACAATTTCACTCATTCCTTAAGATTTAAATAATCAGAGCTTCAAAATTGATCTAAAATATTCAGGTTTATGTTCTCACAGTCACTTCTGCTTTTCTTCTTCTTCCCAAATTTTTACTCTATACTCTTCATCTTTGTGGCCATACCATTATCTCTGCCCTGGCATAGGGCACTGCCTGTTGTCTTTGATGATCGCATAAAACAGGATTGTGCTTGTAGCATTGCTTCTAACATGGGGGACCACACCGGATCCCACATAGTGAACAACTTGAACTTGCTCATCAGTCATTTCAGTTGCCATCTATCGAGCACCTCTCACTGGCTGCCCCACCTCACAGGATTCTTCAACTTGCTGAGGACTCTTCCTCCCCCACCCTTTCCCCTTTCTGTGTCTTCTTCCTTAACCCTCTCCTTTGCTGATCCTCAAATGAATTTATCCCATTTTCTCACACAACGTCGTCTAGTCACCTCTTCGTCTGCCTTCCTTTCATTCAGGTCACTGTTCCATGCACTTCCTCCGAAAGGTTTTCTGTGGCCATTCTTCACAGACTTGATGATGGTCTCCGTTGTTACTGCTTAACTTCCTTCTCCCTATTGGAATGTAAGCTCCTTAAAATTAGGCGGTTTTGTCTATTTCCTCACTGCCGAATCCCCCAGGATTTACACCCGTGTCTGACCCACAGCGGAGCCTCCAGTGTTGACTGATTAACTGTGGCCCTGTGTTGACAATGCTGCTATCAGGGTATCGCCTCAGGAGCTTTTCAGAGAACTTTCCTAGAGAAAGATCACGTCTCTCCAAGAAAAGTTATGGTGGCAACTGTTAGGATAAGAAAATATTTGCCTTTGTCAGAAACAAAATGAAGACCCGTTAAAAGAATATAATAACCAAGTAAGATTTTGCCCAGAAATTTAATAATTTGTTGATAAGAAAATCGATGAATATAATATACCCCTTGAATAGCCTGAATAAAAGAAATCATATGATGGTTTTAGTATATTGAAAGTTCCATAAAACTCAATATTTATTCATAATAAAAACATTGAAAAATTTTAAAAAACAGTACTAGGAAGTATTTCCTTAAAACTTCTGCTCTTGTCCCTAATTCATTCATACAGCCGCCAAAGCCATCTTTTCAAAATTCAAATCTGATCATGTCCTGTCCATCTTTATAAACTTTTACAGACTTCCATGTTGAAGGTGAAAGGGGCATAATTGGGTCTGTTCCCATGGACAGCCATCTAGTTGGCCATTTACTTGGTGAAGTCTTTAGTTTCCAAACCAGTAACTGCCATTCCAAACCCTCACCAGGGATCCTGTTGCCTGACCACTGCCATCAGTGGGCTTCACTAGGCCTCGAGAGGCCAGAGCACATGTCTCCATCTGAACTTGGTACCGGAATGCCACGTGGAACCTTGACTTCACTAGGTCTGCCAGGCTTCCCAGCTTTATTATATTGGCCACCACACAGAAATGTATGCCTCTCTGGTCATCTGTCTTCTTACATACTCTTGACTCCATATTGGTTGTCCTCTCCCTCTTCCAGCTGCCTTACAGCTGGCAAGTAGAGGCCCCCAGATCCTCAGCCTTTCTTCAGACTACTTTCTTCATTTCCTTGCTTTATCAGAAACGTGGTTGTCCCACAGGCAGCCCTCTAGTAGAGAACCCTCCCTCCAACATCCCAGTGTACCAGAGTGCCCAAAGGTGGAGCTGGCATTATTTCCATTCCCCAACTCACTTTCCACCCCAGCACAAAGTACCTACTTTTACGGTCAGACCAGCTCATTGCTTTCCTAGTTCTATCCATTTCTTGGCCGTTGGTCATTCCCTAACATGAATCTGAAGACTGGCTCTGGGATTAGTTTTCCTCCCTGTATGGTCCCATCATTTTATCTGACACCTAAACTAAGAACTGAGCAGCAAGAAGGAGCAACCATGTAAGGCTACCAATGGGAGGGTTTACCACCACTTCACTTGGCTACCATTAAGTCCTTGCTATCCAGGTGGAGGGAAAATGGTAGATACCTACCTCATACACTCACAAAAATAAATCCATATGACCTGGGGCTCACGAAAAGTAAAACACCTTTATTTTCTCATCTACTGTGGTATGTAGCCAGCAACAGCACTTTGAGAAAGCAGTGAGGGATATTGCAATATATAAACACGTATTTGATCGTCAAGTATTATTTTCTTGGCAGTGTTTCAAGGCTTGTGTCTGATGGATGTTTGGAGGGTGAAAGCTGTGTTGTTGGTGGGCAGGCTGTCTCCTGCGCACTCTGTGACTATGTGGATGTCTTACGAACATTAGCATATTGGAGGTACATTATCACTGGCACACTTAGGGAACAGTGTGCTCGAAGAGGGAAGACAGCATTTGTTTGGGCCTCACGTATCCTGTGAGAATTACAAATGTGAAAGAAATCACAGCTGTTTTTGCACTTTGATCAATTCCAAGAACTGTGCTGATTCAGAATAAGGCCTAGAAGCTGGGAGGGAGGAGAGAAAAATGGAAACCATATTGAAATGTAATGCAAGTCTGGCTGTGAAGTGAGGGAACTGCCTTATATCCCAGAGCTCCCGGGATGCCTTTCCAGGCGATGGCCTTTACTTCTTTCCTTATTTCTAGCCCTGCACACCCCAGGACAACACTCTGCGTGGGCACAGAGTCAGGAATTATATCATGTCAGAGGGTGAATGCTTTACAACATTATTGGGAGAAAGAATTTAGTTTGGGTAAAACTAAAAACTGGGTTTTTTTGTTTGTTCTTTTCCTTTGTGGAAGGAAAAAGGAGTGGAATATATGAAGAAAATAGTTGATTCTCCATGTCCCAAAGCAAGACACTTACAATTTGCAGCTGCTTACAACCTTGGAAGAGCTTATTACGAAGGCAAAGGCATTAACCGATCAATTGAGGACGCTGAGAGGTACTTACCTGAGAATGAGTGTTGGTCTTAATCATACACTGAAACAGATAACCACTTGCCTTGTCTTTCCCTTCCAGACTTTGGCTCTTTGCTGCGGACAATGGGAATCCAAAAGCCAGTGTGAAGGCTCAGGGTATCCTAGGGTTGTATTATTCAACGAAGGAACCCAAAGAGCTAGAAAAGGTAACGCTGATCTGTTTAAATGTTGGCTAGAATTCTATTTAGATTGTCTCACTATTTTTCTTTTAAAAGAGGGTGATAAGGAATACGGTTTTGAATCTCTCTGACATTTCTTTAAAATGTAAACAATGTAAATTTTAAGATCTCAAAGCTCATTCCATCCTTTACTCATCTGTGAATGCTACCTTCCTGCCTCTACCAAAGGGGACCCCGGATGTGAGAGAATTGGTATGCTAGAAAAGCTACACAAACTGTGACTCCATGAGAGCTTCCAGAGTCCTGAAATAAAGCCCAAATCCTTTTTAGTGTGAATAAATGATGACATTTGATTTGAGGAACAATGATACTAGTAAGTAAAATATACTAAGAACTAATTGAAAATTAAATCCATTTAAGATTTTTATGGAATTATAATTTCTCTCATCACCATGACTGAAATATTTTCCAAAAAACCTCATAGGGAAAGGAAATGTAGGGCTGAGTCCTACTTGTAAGAGGCTTTATGGACAAACTTCTAAGAGGCACAAAACAATCTAAGACCCTCCTTGGACAACTGAGCAGCCAGTTAGTTTTTGAACTAATTCACATCCACGTAGCCGAGTATTGATCAGATGTTTCTGGCCCCCATGCAGCCTTTACCCTTGGTTGCCTTTGACCTTGAAAGCCCCATCTCGGCGATCCACCTGAGCTCTGACTTCCTGAGCGTCAACAGCTGTCCCTCCCCGCTGTGCCTAGTAGCAGGTTTGTCTCAAAGCCCTGCAGACACCATTCCAGTTTCCCACCTTCTGGATCCTTCCGGTGGAAAATCGGAAAATCCTGAAACCCAAGAGAGCCGAACTCACCTGCACTGTCGTCAGGCGGGCTCACCTTACACTCTCTCTCTCTAAGGCGTGAAATTGATGCTAGCCTGAAATACCTTCAAGGGGCTAGAACTATTTCCTAGAGATGAATTAACAGTACTATCTTATCATTAGAGACTTTTTTCTTTCTGGTATTCCCTTGTAATTTCACCTTGTGAGTAACAAGACGAAACTGCTTTTGTAAAGGCATTTTATTGGCATTCAGAAGCATGCGGCAATGGGAACCTGGAGTCCCAGGGTGCCCTGGGGCTCATGTACTTGTACGGACACGGCATCCACCAGGACACGGAGGCTGCCCTGTACTGCTTGCGGGAAGCCGCGGAGCGGGGAAACGTCTACGCCCAAGGGAACCTCGTGGAGTATTACTACAACATGAAGTTCTTTACGAAGTGCGTCGCCTTTTCCAAAAGGTAAGCAAGCTGGGTGAAGGTGTTCGCAGAAACACCGGCTGCACGTTCTGTGCCAGGTGTGTCCGCAGGACTTGCTGCAATATTGTAAATGACGGCTGTGGAGGGCTGGAAATGTGGCTAGTGCAACTGAGGACTGGACTTGTACATTTCACTGGATTTTAATTAAGTAGTCCCATATCGGATAGTACAACTCTGTGCCATTGGTTTTCAGGATTTCAGTGGTATTCGCTCTGTACACCAGCTGAGTGGGCTTCAGCAAGTTTCTTAACTTTTGGGGGGCATCAATTGCTTTATTTATAAGAAAAACATACTTCTGCAGGATTGTAAAAAGATTGCATATAAAGTACTTAACATGGCTTGGCACAGTAGAAATGTATATTAAATATTCATTTCTTCCTGCATCCTTAGCCACAGGGTTCTCTAAATACGTAATTGCAATATAGCTTGATTAGGGCTGTTAAATAAGAATAATGGTTAAAAGACTCCCAACACATACATCTGATAAGATATTTGGAAATTTCCATAAAACATGGAACTTTCTTTTCTGTGAGCCCATGTATTTTCCTACATTTACTTACCCAGCATGTACAAAAGCAACACACCAGGAAAAACAGCTGTGGCTGTCCCCTGGAGTGGCACAGGCCCATGTTGATGCATTTCCCTCCAATAATGCCCCTATGGAGCCCACGGCTCCTTCCCTCCCAGCCCCCCAGGAGGCAGCCACGACAATGGGGGATGAATCTGCTGCTTCTACCCTCACCTCCCAACATCTTGGCTTCCAGACAGCAGGTCACATAAAGGTGTGATCACCAATGTCCCAAATCCCCAAGTGCCCATTTGATTAAAATGAAGATTTTACAAAGTTCTTAAAATCTTTGAAACTTCACATTATTGTCTACATTCCTATTCTCCATACCATTAGGGTTAACGTGATTAGATCTCATTTTCACACAATTCTCCATATCTGTGTCTGGGTTACACAGAATGAATTTTTTTTTTAATAGCACAAGCAGGCGGTCCCCTTATATTTTTTAAATATCTTTTTATTGATTTCAGAGAGGGAGAGATAGAAACATCAATGATGAGAGAATCATTGATCAGCTGCCTCCTGAACGCCCCCTACTGGGGATTAAACCCGCATGTTGGGCATGTGTCCGTGACCAAAATCGAACCCAGACCCTTTAGTCCACAGATTGGCGCTCTATCCACTGAGCCAAACTGGCTAGGGCTATATTTTGTTGTTGTTAATCCTCACCCAAGGATATTTTCCCATTGATTTTTAGGGAGAGGGGGAGGGAGAGAGACAGAAACAGCCACGTGAGAGACACATTGATTGGTTGTCTTCCGCGCACCCCCGACCAGGGCCAGGGATTGAGCCTGCAACCCAGGCATGTGCCCTTGACTGGAATCGAACCTGGGACTCTCAGTCCGCAGGCCATCGCTCTATCCACTGAGCCAAACCAGCTAGGGCCAGAATGAATTATTTTTATTGACCATTTTTAACCAAAGATAGATGTGCAAGTTTTTCTTAATGTGCTTTCTGGTCTTATGTGAGTAAGGTCCAAATTTAAGGTCCATGTTTAAATACATGATCCAAAGAAATAGAAAGTATATCTTTCCCCATTGTTGAAATCTACAGTGATGTTAAGTTTAAAATATTAATATTATAAGGAAACAACCTTTCTTTCCTGTTCTAGTCATTTTCTAGGTTATTGAGCCCAAGGAGAATAATCACAGGGAGCTGTAAAGCAACCACTCTTCCCGGTATTAACTATGTTGTTTCCCTTTCACTGCACAACAACTTTGTTAAACAGGTAGAAATGGGGAAATCACTTTAGACACAAGGACAATTTGTGGACATGTTGCTTGTGAAAATGTAAACCATAACTTTTTATTTCACAATTTACGTCCTAACAGGGTTGCCGACTACGATGAGGAGCAAGACATCACATCCCGACGATAGCCCAGGTCACGGACTGTCTCCCGGAGTTCATCAGCAGAGGCATGGCCATGGCCTCCTGCCCGGTGCCTACAGCTTGGCTTGGGGACCACAAAGGATGAAGCAACCGCTAAACAATATTATTCTAAAGTAAGTGAGCCCAAGAACAAGCATAAATGACTCCGAGGCTGCTTTTATGGTGTTCTTTCCTCCTTAGTTATTGTAGAGATCATCTCTGTCTATGGAGAGGCTGTCAGACATGCAGCCAAGCATGTCAAACTCACGGTTGGCGGGCCACATGCCTTATTTAAGTAAATGAGGCATATAGCCCGCCAGCCACGAGTTTGACATGCTTGTTAGATGATCCTGTCAGATTCTTAGCATGATTAGAAGTCCTGTATTATTCTCTCTCACTCTGATGCTTTCAGGCCAGCACTAAGACCTCAAAGCCAGAATATTCATGCCTCCTTTCACCCAGAAAAAAGTGTGAGCCTGTATCCTCGTTCTAGTACCTTAATGAAATGTAGTTTTTCAAGAAAGTTTTGTATACATGACATCTTCCACACTGAGGTGAGGAGAAATATTCATGAGTTTGCAGCAGTCAGTTAAAATAAGCCTTTTCATGTTTTAATCCATGTGATTTAGTCAAATTCCAACGGATTTCAGGTCTGAAAATCTAACAACTGTTAAAAGAGGGTAACTATATTTTTTCATATAAAGAAAAGACAGCCCTGGCTGGTGAGGCTCATTTGGTTCGAGCATCATCCTGTACACCAAAAGGTTTTGCATTCGATTCCCGGTCAAGACACATACCTAGGTTGTGGGTTCAGGCCCCAAGTGGGGTGCATACAGGAGGTAACCGATGGATGTTCACTTGTCTGTGTTTTGAAATCACTAGGGATCTTTCAAAAATTCCAAAGCCCAGGCCTCATTTCAGAGCAACTCAATCTCAGTCCCCGGAAGTGGGGCCCTGTATGTACTGAAGCGCCTCAGGATGCCAGTGTTTTGGAATCCTGG